GAGGTTAATTATCCAAAGACAGAGCAGGGGATTAAATACACGGCATGGAGTCTCTCTCTCTCTCTCTCTCTCTCTCTCTCTCTCTCTCTCTCTCTGAGGATCAAACCCAGGGCCTTATTCATTCTAGGCAGGTGCTCTACTGCTGAGCTACACCCCCAACCTTTGTTTTCTTGGAAACAGGGTCTTGTTTTGTAGTCCAGGCTGGCTTCAAATTTGTGATGGTCCTGCTTCTACCTCCTAAGAGCTAGGATGACAAGTGTGTAGCAAACATGCTTAGCTTCACATGAAATCATGAAAAAGTCAACAAAAAACCTTTGCTGTTTATTGACATTTATGTTGAAAGAACTTATTTCTATAAATGATTCCTTAGGAATCACAGCTTTGGACCATAGGGACTGATACTGCTGTAACTGAACTTTAGAAACTATATATAGTCTTCCCTCTCATGATGTCTACTACTCTCTGTATTTACCGAGGAAAATGCAGGGCCATATGCACTTTCACATGTGCCCCCATGCATTTCTCTCCTAGCTTTTGTTACAGGAAATTGAAATTGTCTGTTGATAGTGTGACTTGTCAAAATCTTTTTTTCAGTTTTTCCTTCACTGTCTTGCAAATGGTGGGTGTACCCTCCCCGAGTGCTTGGGATCAAACTCAGGGCCTTGTGTATGCTAGGCAAGCACTGTCACTGAGCTACCTTCTCAGCCCAATAGTGCAATAATTCTTTTCTCTTTCTGAGACAGGGTCTCACTATGTAGCTTAAAATAGCATTGAACTGGCTGTGTAACCAAGCTGGCCTTGAACTCTTGATCCTCGTGCATTAGTTGCAGAGTCCTAGGCTTATAGGAGTGGGCCACTGCACCTGGCTGAGTGCAATTAGTTTTTGTTTTTTAAATATTTTATTATTTTTATTTTTGTGCGTATGTCTGCATGTGTGTAAGTATACCTGTCATGCAATGCCCATGGAGGTCAGAAGAGGGCATTGGATTCCCCTGGAACTAGAGTTATGGATGGTTGTTAGCTGCCACAGGGGTGCTGGAAATTGAACCTGGGTCCCCCCCAGTAAGAGCAGTCAATGCTCTTAACCACTGAGCCATCTCTACAGCTGTGCAATTAGTTTTTTTGATACAGGGTCTCATGTGTCCCAGTCTGACCTGAATTATGTAGTTTAAGGACAGCCTTAAACTTCTGATTCTCTTGCTTCCACCTCACATGCTGGGACTACAGTCACATGCCACAGGCCTGGTTTATATAACCCTGGGGATTGAACCCAGGGCTACATGCATGCTAGGCAGGAATTCTAACAGCTGAGCTATACCCAGTCCAAGTCCAACCCTAGCTGGCCTGGAACTCTACGTAGACCACAGTGGCCTTTATTTTACAGATATTTGCCTGCCGCGAGTGCTGAGAGATTAAGGGCATGGACCACCATGCCCAGCTCAAGTCCAATCTTTTTTTTTTTTTTTTTTTTTAAATATATGTGGAGGGTATGGGCGAGGGGTGATGTGGGTATTCACATGTGGAGGCTTGGTGGCAAGTGCTTTTATCCACTGAGGTGTAGCTCAGGCTGTCCTCAAACTTGTGATCCTCTTGCCTAGGCCTCTTTAGTGTATCCTGCAGGCATGTACTACAACCAAGCAGTATAATTCTCAAAATGGCATGAAAGGTATTTCATGATCTGCTCCCCACCATGTTTTGGCTTACCTTCTCAGTACTTCCTACAAACCAGCTCCTCACACTGCTATTCCTTCAGAACCTCCAGTAAGCTAGGATTTTTTTTTTTTTTTGGAGGGGGGGTGTTGACAAGGTTTCACATATCCAAGGCTGGCTTTGAACTTGCTATGTAACTATGACCTTGACCTCTTTATCATCCTGATCTACTTCTCTCACAAAGATTTTCCTGCCTCTATGCCCAGATAACTCTCCTCAAAAACTAGACTAAGCTCTCAGAACAGTCTTATGTTTCCACTGATTAGGAAGAGACTGGAATTTAGTTGATGCATACTGATCTACAAGACTGGGCATGGTGGTGCACACTTTTAATACCAGTACTCAGGAGACAGAGGCAGGTGGATCTCTGTGAGATCAAGGCCAGCCTGGTCTACATAGTGAGTTCCAGGCCAGCTGGGGCTGTAGGAAGAAAGGCCCTGTCTCAAAGACAGAACGCCCCCCTCAAAGCCCAAAACAAACAATAACTACTGATCTACAATGAAATAGCCAAAAGCAATCACTCACCATTCACCAATTCTTGTTAAAATAACCTATGCAGCTCTCTGCAAGAGGCACGACACGTAGAATCAATGAAGGCAAAAAGCCTGGTGAAGTGGTGAAGTCCAGGCATATACACGGAATCAAAGGTGATATCAGAGGTGTGTTGTAGGGGAAAGGAAGATGTAGAGATGTTGGAATTGTTTACTTTGAGGACTTTCTGATATGACTGCATGGCTTAGGAAAGTAATATTACAGGGCTGGAGAGATGGCTCAACGGTTAAGAACACTGGTTGTTCTTGCAGAAGACCCAGGTTCGAATCCCAGCACCCACATGGCAGCTAACAACTGTTGGTAATGCCAGTTCCAGGGGATCCGATGGCCTCTTCTGTCCTCCACGGGCATTGCACAACATGGGTGCACTTCTCTACATGCAGGCAATGCACTCGTACACATAAAATAAAAATAATATTTAAAAAAGTAACATTACATATTCTCAATCACCCAGGCTCATAGGTTATAGCTACCACTAGCCAACTCCACACCTCTGCTATTTTTTTTCTTGTTTAGTAGTCACATGAAAAATACACCCAAATCATATCTTCGCAGTCTTGCCATTTGTATTTTAGGTTATTGGATATGCTTAGAGACAAGGCAGTTTCAGTTTTGGTTACCCATGTTACTACAGAAGCAGAAGTTGGGCACTAATTACTTCAGATTTTGAAGGAGCAACAGTCTCTATATCTTGTTGCCTACCTCCTAGAAAAGCTGGGCCCTCCACTATGAAAAGGAACAGGCCTCCAAATGCAGGATGAAAGGACAGAGCCAGACCACTACTGAAGGATCAATGCTATACAGTGCACCACAATGCTTTCCGGAGAAGTGTGCAACCAGCTCTGGTTACCAGCAGCAGGCACTGCACATTCTGCTGTAGAAACACACCACCAGGTTGACCACTAAGGTCTGCAGCAAAAGCCAAAGAATGATCCTCAACAAATGGCTCCAGAAGGTGAAGTGATGCGAACTGATCATTATTTCAGGATATCCCATACTACTCAGACCTTGGAACACCTGGTCAGAATTATTTATTAGAACTTTTCTTTTTGCAAAGTTCTAAAAATCATAAAACCAGGTGGATTAATAAGACATCCCCAAATTAGATTCGAAACCGTACACAGTGGCTCTAATTCACCATCCTACTGTTAAGATGTTACATATATCTAGGACCACCACCCTGCTATTCTTTCTTGGGGAGGCAAATTTTCTACAGAAATGTGAAAAGGGTCGGTCTTTCTGTGATTGTAGCAAAGAGAAAACAATCTAATTTTCTGTTTTGTAGCAACCAACTAAAAAAATTTTGTTTTGACTTTTTGCCTGCATAAGTGTACCATGTGTATGCAGTGCCCATGAAGGCCAGAAGAGGGAACTGGATGCCCTGGAACTGGAGTTATGGATGGCTGTTAGCCACTCTGTAGATGGTGGGAACTGAATGTAGGTCCTCTCCAAGAGTAGCCAGTGCTATTCTTTTTTCTCCCCCAGGGAAAAACATGTATTGGGTTTTTTAGTTTGCTTTCAATTGCTGTGACAAAACACTCTGGCCAATAACAACTTGGAGAGGAAAAGGTTTATTTGGCTTACATCTCCTGGGAGCCTAAGGTAAGGAACCCAGGGCAGGAACCTGAGGCAGGAGCTGGAGCACAGGCCATGGAGGAATGCTGCTTACTGGCTTGCTCCCCTGGCCCATGCTCAGGTTGCTTTCTTATACCATGCAGAACAACTGCTCAGGGATGCAACTGCCCAGAGTGGGCTGGACCCTCTCATATCACTCAAAAATCAAGAAACTACTCCACAGATATGGTCACAAATCAGTCCAGAGGAAATTCCTCAACTGAGGTTCCCTCTACCCAGGTGTGTATCAAGCTGACAATTAAAGCTATCTAGCACATTGGGTGTGATGTTAAAAGACATTACAGTGGAGGAAGAGTGGAAGACAGAAAAGCTTCTTGAACTAACCCTAGGAGAGTCATTAAAAAGCTTATTTATATAGCCAGAGAGCTTGTCATGCTTATCTGGGGATTGTAATTCCACTAGAGCTATTCTTAACCTTCGAGTCATCTCTCCAACCCCCTACTAGGAATGTTTTTTAAAAAGAGGGTCTCATGCAACTCAAGCTGGCCTTAAATTCCTGACCTTCCTGGCTTTGTCTCCCAAGTGCTAGGATTATAAGTGTGCCACTTTGCCTACCACACATTTCATTTTGGGGACAGGGTTTCATTATGTTGCCCAGGCTGGTCTTGAACTCCTTGGCTCAAGTAACCTTCTTGCTTCAGTCTTCTGAGCTACTGAGTATGTGCCAGTACATTTGATTTTGTGTGTACGTGTGTGTGTTTTGAGGAGTAGGTGGGAAAGGAGTCCTTTTTTTTTTTTTTTTTTTGAGACAGAGTCTCACTATATAACCCTAGAAAGTCTGGAAATACATAGACCAAGCTGGCTTCAAATCTGTAGCAACTGTCCTATCTCTATCTCCCAACTGCTAGGTATAGACACTGTGCCTGTTTCTTTAGGTCTTCCAACTTTTCTGGAAACGAAGCTTAAGGGTATGTTTTAAACCTTCAAATTAAAATGTTATCCTCATATATTCATGTGGCAAGTTGTCATTCACATCTATATTTTCTAATTTCCAGTTAAACATGTGCATTTAGACCTATGTTACTGTAACAAAGCCAAAGACAATGCAACTTACTATCAGGAAAACCTAGACCTTCTATGTAGTATTTGACAGAGAACACTGCTATTCAACAGATCTTATTTTATTCAGATAGTAGTCTGACCACACATGGTCCAAGAACATTCAAATAAATCAAATAGAATCAGATATTAAAGACTGGTCTTCAAACATCATAGCCAACGATGCCACGCTTGCCTATGATCTCTCCGATATAAAACCACATCCACACTTCAGTAGCCACCAAACCGTTCAGCATAGCTTCCTGAAAAAGAAAAAGTACAAATTTATTATTTTTATTTTATGTGAATGAGTGTATTGCCTGCACGTATGTGAGTGCACCTGTGTCGTGCAATGCTGCAGGGGTCAGAAGAGGCCTTCGGATTCTCCTGGAACTGGAGTTAAGAATGGTTCGTAGCCACCATGTGGGTGCTGGGAATCGAACCCAGGTCCTTTGCAAGAGCAGTCAGTGATCTTAACTGCTAAGCCATCTCTCCAGCCCCCCAAAAGTACAAATTTTAAGGAAAACTAATTTAGAACCATTCTTTCTCAGGACTGGCAAAGAATATAAAGATGCTATTGAAACTACAGAACAGTTTTAGCCAAAGCCAAGAATTACAGATGCTAACTTTGTTCAACTTCTGAGAACCCTTGAACTTTCAATTTTGTAAGGCAAGTAGGCCTGACCTTATAAATTCTTTCAAAGGAATCTTTAAAGACCTGAACTGACTTAACCCTTTCATTATTAAGTTTATGAGACACTTTATGGGCCCTAAAACAACCCATACCCTGGAAATGGCTCACACATTTAGACAGGGCATTCACAGGAGGGTTTGTCTCTGAATAGCCATTTCTGTCTGGCCAAAGAAAATCTGCTCAAAGATGAAGCCCTCTGCCTTCCCCTTGACGCTTCATCCACTTCATTTCCACTTATTTGGTTTAACTCTTTCCAAGTATTCAGTCTTCAGTCTCACAAGTCAACATCTTATGGTTCTGGTGAAAAAAAAAAAAGAAAAACAAAACAAAAAAACCAATACATGGTTCCAGAAAGCATTGTTTCATGCAAGCAAAAACATGGATCTAAAAATGCTAGTGGGAAAAAATATCTTTCCACAACAAAATTGGGCTAAAAAGCAGAAGGATTCCTGGAGGTACATGTTCTCCTATTAGGCCAGAGGCTACTGGATATCTGAAAAACACCATATTTCCCAAGTGCAAGTTCTAGAGCTAGCAATTATTAGTTGTTTAGGCTTTTTGTATCCTGTGCTATGATCAAGTATATTTATAATTAAACTTCCAGTTTCTTATGGTCTTTAATCTATATGTAAAAACTCAGATTTTGATATTTTTCTTCCGCCTAATATAATTCAAGAGGTCTTTGGCTGAATTGGGGATAATTCCAGGACTAAAATAAAAGCAGTCATCCTATTTTAATAGACTAGCTAACATTAGAAAGGAAAACAAAGGCTCCCAGTTATTCAATATGCTCACCTTTGTGTCAAAAGACAACAACCAAACCAAAACCAGACATAGCTAAATTACCACTACCCAGATGACAAAATGAGAAAAGTAGATGCCTTTCTTGGCACTCAGAAAAGAGATTATCTTTCATTATATTGGACTCTGCCTTACCAGAAAACACATATACTTATCAAAACAATAACAAGAAAATATCCCAAAGGAAGACATTTTCTGTCATGAGCATGTTTTTATGTAGCCCATAGTTACCTTAACTGTGAGCTGTTTGAAGCTACCAGTTTTAGCACTTTCGATTACTTTTTTCAGGCTCTGAATAGCTTTAGGGATCTCAGCAGGGGTTGGGGGAACCAGCTCAACCCTGGCGTAATGCCAAAATGTGGCCAATCGAGGCTTCGAGTAAGTCACAGCAGCTGGAAAACAAAACAAAACAAAACACCCAGGATGAACTCACTAGAGATCGAAAGAAGCAGATGTGTGGGCTGGACACAAATATTTATTCATGCATTACATTCATTCACTGCTTGGACCAAATGTTCACCCAGTGTGAAAAGTCAAAGCTGCTGCTCCCTGGTAACAAGAGGCTTTTAAAGATGCAAAGCACCTGTGTCACAGGACGTTCAATCAGGCAGGAAGCTAGAAGCACATTCATTTATGCCAGAACTGCACTCGTGGCAGTAAGTACTGCTACTCACTTTTGAATGGCGAATCTAATGAACTGAAAAGTTATAGTAGCTGGATTTAAAAACAAAGACAGCAGCAATTTCTCTGTTTCAGATTTTGAAGAGAAGGTATCCAGAAGGGGAAGAAGCTATGTAGAATGGCACTCTTACTACAACATGGGCCACAAAGCCAGATGGAATCATACCAATTAGTAATCATTTTTGGTGCCCTCATCAATATGTGATGATTAAATCTTTCTCTAACCAGAGGACAGCTGCTCCCCTTTCAAAAACAGCACTAATAACAAAAATTAACCCTACTTGTATTGTTAAGAGCAGTTAAAACTAGAATCTACTACTAAGATGAAATTCCTTAAGGTATTTACTATTTTCTTCTTTTTTTTTTGGGTCGTTTGGGAGACAGGGTCTTCCTGTAGCCCCAGCTGTCCTGGAACTATGTAGACCAGGCTGGCCTTGAACTCAAGAGATCCACCTGCCTCTGCCTCCCAAGTGCTGGGATTAAAGGCGTGTGCCACCACGCCCGGCCTGGTATTTACTATTTTAAATCAATGACCAGCAAGAGAAATAACAAAACCAACATGGGGTCTAGGAATGTAGCCCAGTGGCACAGCATTCCTGGGTTGAAGCTGTGGCAGAGAGAGATAGAGGGGGACAGAAATGGAGGGAGAGAGGGAGAGGAAAAATCCGGTGCTACTACATTAGAATTGGAGATATCCTTAGCTTAGCATAGATGTGCAAGGTGGATTCAGAGACAATCATTTATAAACACAGATTAACATACAAATGCATGCCTCTCCCAATATAGACATATGTCTGAATATCTGTCCACTGCAAGGACTTTAAAACAATGACTTAGTAGCTAGAAACAAACCCAGCACTTAGATAGTAATTTGTGGACTCCATTGTCTACAAATAAAAGGAACTCCTTGGAGAAACAACCAGTTCTAAGGCTAGGCAGACAAAAGAAAAGATTAATCTGAAGCATCTTTAGGACCAGAAAATAAGGAGTACGTCAAAGAGGCTAGGGTACCACGCTAAAAGGGCTACAAGATGAGCAAGGCTAAGATAATCAAGTCTGAGCAATAAATTAGATAGCATTGGCTATGTGAAGCATGAAATAAATGTAAACGAGTCCTTACAATATGTGACTGGAAAATAAACAGATGGGGAAGAGCCAACTCTTAGAGACTTCCACTTAACATACGTAGACATTCCCTCCTACAGAGATGGACCCAATTGCCACTCCAGCCATAAACCCTCCTGCCTCAGCTACTTGCTTCTAAAGAATGGTGCAGACACAAAAAGAAGACATGAGGCTGACCAGGGTTCTGACACTGTCAAATAAAGTTATTTTCAGAGGTCAAAAAAAAAGACATCAAGCAGGAGAGGGACTTGTTGAGGAGAGGTCCAACAGGAGAGGGAGGGCAATGAGATGGGGTAGGGGTGTCAAATGACTCAAGTCACTATATAAATGTATGAAACTGTTAATGAAATTTTTTGGGGGGGGGTACAGAAAGGGAAACCAACAATTTCACAGTGGAGAATCCTATCAAACACTACTCCAACCAAGGGACAGGCATGAATATCATGTACCTCCTACTATGTGATCAGGGTAGCTCATCTCTGTGATTTTTCTTCCCCTTAGACGCCACAGTTCCAGACTAATTATAAAAGAAACCCAAGATAAATGCAGTCTGAGAATGTTCCTAAGGTATCTAGGTGGTTGATGACATCATGAAAGGTAAGGAAAGGCTGGACACTGTCACAAGAAAGAGGAGACTGGGGAAGACATGACAACTAATAAAGTCACACCGTAGACTGGAACCTACATTTTAAAGATTTTAATGGAAAAACTGGTGAAATGTAAACAAAATCTACAGCTTAGTTAAGGGGAGAAAAATCAGGCTCTAATCTTTCTGGGGCAGTCTGATGATAAGGTTACTTCTTTTTTTTTTTTTTTGGCCTTTTTGAGACAGGGTCTTCCTGTAGCCCCAGCTGGCCTGGAACTATGTAGACCAGGCTGGCCTTGAACTCACAGAGATCCTCCTGCCTCTGCCTCCCGAGTGCTGGGATTAAAGGCGTGCGCCACCATGCCTGGCTGGTTACTTATTTCTTTTTAAGAGAGATTTATTTGTATTTTTAATTACATGTCTGTGTACATCTGCATATGCGTGCAGGTATCCATGGAGGCCAGAGGCCTTGGATCTCCCTGAAGCTGGTGTTACAGGTGGTTGTGGGTGCTGGGAACAGAACTGGGGTCCTCTGGTAGGCAGTATGTGCCCTTAGCTGCTGAGCTACCTCTCCAGCTCAAAAGTTACTTACTTCTATATCCCCCCAAGGTGGCTAAGAGATAGCAAATCCTTTATCAAGCCTTTAACACTCACATTTAATGCACCAATCTATGGTTTAAAGCAAAATCCATTTAACATTCTGGCTTCACCAGAGTTCTGTTTTTTCAGTACTTTTGGAAGAATAACAAGGTTATCTTCCAATAACTGGGTATAATTACCACAATTACTCACAAGGAAAGGATTATGTGTTTCATGACAAAAATTTATTTTGGTAATGTTTTTCCTTTTAAGTTTTATCACCAAAACCAGTTTTAAATTCTCCAATCTGAACTACCTAAAAGGATGTGAAAATTATACTGCTAGGGAAAAAATTCAGCATAAAATATTAAAAAATTATACCTCAAAACATTAGAGTCTAAATACTAAAGCCTTCCCTTTGTATTTCTGTAATACCATGGCACTGTGTAACAGAAAGCATGATCATCTTAGTACAATGGCAGTTGAAAAGGAGAAATTCTTTGGTGAAAAGTGCAAAACATCTCACTAGAAGAGTGGGGTTCTTTAGGAAGAGGGAATCAAGTAATGTCCGCTACTGTAAGTTCTTCAGTTAAGGAATGGCTGGTCATGGAGGGAAGGGAGGAGAGAATAATAAAATATCCAAACAGACAGAAGAGGCTCCAAAGCATCACAATACGGAAATCTAAGGGAGAAATGGGAATTTAACTTCTCCCATGGGTAATACAACGAATAACCTGTTACTCAGAAGGTCTGTGACTATTCAGTGCTGTTCTGAAATACAGCAGTCTGACAGACTCTTCAAACCAAACAACCCCACGCACGGCAAACCAGGATAAAGACGACTATTAACTCGAATGATTTCTAAGCCTTGTGGGGCAGGGCTATTCATCCAGACGTTCTAATTTCCCTCCGAAAGATGCAAAAACCTCAAGGATCTGACTAGGACGGTAAGCAAATCCAACCTTCAAAACGCTCACTCATCTTTAAGCATGTATGTATGTATTTTTTTTCTTTTTGAGGCAGGGTCTCCCTGTAGTCCCAGTTGGCCTGGAATTCACGTATGTATGTATGTATATATTTTTGAAAGAGGGGTCTCCCTGTAGCCCCTGCTGGTCAGGAACTCACTGTGTAGACCAGGCTGGCCTCGATCTCATAGAGATCCGCCTGCTTCTGCCTTCCAAGCACTGGGACTAAAGGCTTGCGCCACCACGCCGGGCCTTGTTAAGCATTTCTGCTGACGGATGTTCAGATGCTCAGTGGAGAAGTAGACCACCCGATGAGGCCTAATTTGTGGCCTTGACTGTTTCCGCCCTTCCCAGTTGTCCTAACGCGGTAAGGGGACGTCCGGGCGGGCAAGGTCGGGCTTTCACACGACCCTCACACGGTCGCGGTTACAGCAGCGGGTGCGCGGCGCGAAGCGGCTGCAGCCAGGCAGGGCCGGGCCTCACAGCCTCGGCTCCCCCGCCTCCTGCCGGCCGCTTGGCACCCGCACCCCGTCTTCCCCGAGGCCTCGCTCACCGTTCAGCAGGGCCGGGGCCTTCTGAGCCAGACTGCGGACAAACTGGGCCATGGTCCCCGACGAAAGTCCGTGTTCCCGAGCGGCCGGCTGAATGTCACCCCCGGAAGGACCCACGGCAGGACCCCGGCCCCCGTTCCAAGGTCAGGCTGCCTCCCTCCGTGCCTGTCCGCAACATTCACATAACCGAGGGTTCGCGGGACCCAGTCAACAGTTTATTTTTTTCAGTCAAAGGAAGAAAATGAGTACGAAAAGATATTAGAGACCGTGCGAATAGTGGGATTCTGTATGGAACAGGCATTGCCTGGGGCAGCCCAGTCGTGGCGGCCCGGAAGACACGCTAGGCGGGGAAATGCACATGCGCCGGGGATTTTCTTGGCGCCGATCTCCGTGTTTTTTTTTGTTTTTTTTTTTTTTTTTTTGCGTAGGACGTTTTTGTAGCTTTTCAGAGAATGTGGAAATCGGGGCGTCACTGAGATGTTTGTGGACCGACACGTTCCTTTTAGGGGCAACGAGATTCCGAGGGTAAACGGGGGCTTTGGAGCCTATGTAAGGTGTCACCTAGGGCTCTAAACAGTCGCACTGGACTCAGCCAGTGACTTCCCTTAGTTGACCTTTTATAATCCCAGTCTCCTCTACAATATCAGGATTGGAATTCAGTTCCTCTATTTCTCAAGCCACAGGGAGCTATGCAGATATGAGGGAGAAAGTCACATGTACTGAGGGGCCACACATTTTGTAATTCCATGGAAGCGCGCCTTTGGGTATTGTCTCTAGAGAGACTGGGATGGCAAAGTGGTCCTATCAGGGAGTGGCAAGAGTTGCTATGTAAACGCAGAGAGAGGAACATCAAATGAGATAAGATATGGTACTGATGTAGGAAGACTTAGAGATCCTTGACGTGTAAGAGAACAGCCACAAACTACAAAGGGTTGGAACCATGATTGGAAGACAAATGTAAGGAAGTGACGTTTGATGAGCACAGAACTATAAATAATGCTTCCTGGAGAAGTCTGAGCTTTAGAGGTAAAACTGCTTAGGTAGCAAGAAAGATGACAAATGGGGCCAAGGAGTCAAGAGCTTTAGGTAGGACAGAGAAGTCAAATTAAGGCAGTTAAACTGGGTGGTAGCATACACGTGTAATCCTAGGATACTAAGGCTGAAGCAAGAGAGGATTGGGAATTTTGGGCAGTTTAGGCTACATGGTGAAGCTATGTCTGGTGGAGAACTGGGGTGGGGGTGAGGACAGGAGGAATGAAAATTACTGGCATGAAAATCTATGACATTAACTCGAAAGTTTCAGAAACTTAGAAGCCAGATTGAATGGGTGAAGAAAGTATGTAAGAATATACAAGTCAGACAACCAAAGGGGAATTGACAAGAATCCCGAGGCATCAAAGAAGGGAGAGGAATTAACTTCGGAATGTTGGGACCTTTTCCCCAGATGGGGTGATGGGAGGAAAAGTTTTAAGATGAAGACACTGGTCTTTATCTCCCAGTGAAGTAAAAGGCAATGTTGTCTTAAGTGTGAAAGGTAAACAGGAGGTGAGAGAGGCCAGCATATCTCACAGTGGTAGACCCTACAAGTTTGTGGTTGCAGTGGAAAGGGATGGTTAGAGTAACCTAGGCTGAGATCCTGCCCTGCAGAGATGTCACTGAAACAAGGGACAGGACATGGCAGCAATTATTAAACAGTGTGGTGTTTAGATAAAGTGTAATTCCTAAGGGAATTAATTAGGAAAAAAGCATTCCTTGAGACTCATCTTCTGAGGACAGCCCCAGGGTCCCTTCAGGTTTGTGGGGAGGCAGGTTAGGTAGCCAGGTCACACACATTTGGTATCACTTTACCAAAGAAAATGGGGCAAAACTCTAGGTTTTTAGAGGGATTTCTGAAACGATCATGTTTTTTAAATTTAAATTTTTCTTTTTTTGTGGCAGTGGTATTGGGGATTGAATTTGGAGCCTTGGGTATGCCAGACAAGCTCTCTACCATTAAGCTACATCCCAGCCCTTATTAATTTGTGTTTGAAATAATCTTGGTAAATTGCCCAGGCTGGCCTTGAATTCACTAGGTAGCCTTGGTGGGCCTTGCCCTTTTAATCCTCCTGTCTCAGCATCCTTAGTAGCTGGGATTACAGGCATGTGCCACACCAGGGTGCTACTAGCTTTTAATACTGTAATAAAGGGATAACAAAAGTGGTAAGTCAAGTGCTCATTTATTAAATACAAGTTTTGAACAAACACCCCCAGGCAAGTTTGACAAGAAGTTCCTTCCTGGAATGTTTCAAAATACAGTTACGTTGATCAAGGTTGATTTCAGTCAACTTTTTTTGTTTTTCACTTCCTTTGTCTCTAGGTTCTTTTCCTGTATAGCAGTTAGAACACGTGAACTATTTCCTCACATGACATTGGTGTAGCATCAGCCTCTGGCTTGTAAAGGTACCCAGTAGGCTTAGGCTTTGCCTAATGGCTGCTTAGCAACCAGAATCAAAGTAATGAAGCCTTTGTACCGTGTACCCAACAGCAACTGGTACCTTCACCTGCACCTTTAGACTACTTCTCAAGTTTCTTGCAGTTTTCACACATCCACTGAAAGCTATACTTAAAAAAACAACAACAAAAAAAATGGCTTGATAAAACCTAAGTAATTTCCCAAGCTTAGTATTAGCCTCTTGGTATATTATGATCAATACCAAGGCTGCCTGGTCTGCATTTTCCTTCCATATTCCAGTAAAGCCATTATGTAAAACTAGGTATGTCAGGAAGACTTACAGCTGCTACAGAATTTCAGACAAAACACCTCTCTACCCTTCCAAACCCATCTACCATCATGTTTCACCAAGATGGTAAGTTTTTAGTTTCTTTTTTCTGTATCCTTAAATTAGTTCACAAAAAGAAAGAAGGCACAGAGGATACTTGGTTTCCTTACCAGTGGCCTTAAGCTACACACTTGCTTTTGTGATAAAAGATATTCAGCAGCATTAATGGTGCCACAGCCATTCATAAAAAAAGTCTCATGAAAATAGCTTAAAAAAAAAAAAAAGAAAAAAGAAAAAAAAGAACTTGCCAGAAAAGGCTCACAATCTGAAGGTTCAGTTCAGAAGTAGAATGCAGATAGACACTAGAGGCAGCACAGAGGTTGTTAGCTAGAAAGCTGCTGGGTACAGCTGTCTTCTGAGGTTTTGTGCCCATTTCCTGCAATTTTCTCCTGCAAAACTCTGATCTCTCCTTTTTCAAATGAAAATAAACATCTCACCACATTAGCTTTGGAAAAACAAATACAGGTAGGTAGAAGTTTATTTCATATACAGTTCATTCCCAGAGAGAGGAAGAATGATAAACATGAAGTTCACTTAAAAAAAATCCTGTCAACCCATACCCTAAGGGCCCAAGGAGCACACTGTCTTACATCCTGGCATTTGCAAAAGTGTCCTAGGCTTCCCCTTTCATAGACAGGCAGAGCAACAATGATTTAATATCAAGGTGAGGGGCCCTGTCTGATTTGAGGTTTTCCTGATACCATCAAAAAACCCAGTAAGGATTGATTATAGCAACTTGCTTTGGGATACTGTAACACCGCTATCTATATGAAAGAGGCAGTGGTTAATATCACTTTTCTTGTTCCTTACAGCTCTGGGCTGAAATGGGTATGGACATAAAGCTGTCCCATAAAATGAGCCTCACATAGCTGCTAAGCTGCACAACTGAGTAGGAAACTTGGGATCAACTTGGAGAAGTGGGGTCAAACCACTTAGTAACTACCCAGGGCTAAGTGGACATTTAGAATAACTTGTGGACACAGTTTTGCTCAATTCCTACTTAGTTAATTGATAAATTGAGGCTATACCAGAAGCAGCTCTTAGAAGTCAGGTCACAGTCCAAACATTAGCTATATACAATTTTACAGTCTCTTTTACCTGTCTAGAATGAATATGCAAGAAAATATGGCCACACACTGCATACATCTTACTGTGGAGGACACAATATAAAGTACTCAGTTTATATAAGACCAATATAGAAAAGTTCATGGTATCTGTGTGTATATACACACACTGAGATATACTGTTATTAGTGTCTTAAAATGACATCTTCATGTGTGTAGTATTCATTGTCTAACTAGTCTACCCAGGCCTAGTCTTCAGAGTAACAGATTTTTACAAGAGGACAGGGCTCAACAGTTTCCTGTTCATTCCTTAATTGGAAGTTTGCCCCCATTATGAATCCTCATAAAAAGATCATGCAGCTAAATTTTTGGTGGTGACAACCTCATAGGAGTTTGTGGTATCTTTAAGTTATAAGATAATACAAAATTAAGAGCTACTACTGATAGACGTTGCATAAGATTTCTTTTTCATCCCCCTAATCTTACCTATCATTCAAAAATCGACACAAACATTAAGATATTTGCCTTTATCTGCAAAGTTATTCTGTAATACTACAGAGCTATAATAAGGATAAGGCTTAAATCTAGATCTTAAGAGCTAGAAGATACACAGGCTAACAGGATTTTTTTGATGATACCAGCTGTCACTTAAGTATCTGACATTGTAGACTTAAAAGTAGTGCTCACTAAAAAAAAATGTCTGAACTTGGGAAGAGAAAGAATAAAGTGGCAGATGACTACTACTAATATAATTTAGGGTAAAAAAGGAAAAGGAAGGAATGGAGAAATAAAGTCTGAAAAATTAGTGATTTCTAAAGTTAACAATGCTGTAAGAAGTACAGTTTCCTGCAAGCTAGGGAAACAATGACAAGTTCTTAAGAATCGTAATTATCATAATTTAAATGACAGTTTTCTAATTTAGTAAAGGAAACAAACAAAAATAAACAAATAGTCAATAAACCAAATAAGACAAAAAAAGGAAAAGAAAGGTACAGAACAAGAAAGAAAGAAACCACAAACAACTGCTTCCACTCGGGTTGGTTTTTGGTTGTTTAGTTCACAGTATTTATTCATGTTACTCCTTTTGCTGTTTCCTCTCTGCGAGCCATCGCTGGATTTTTTCTTTCAGTTCAGTGTTTGGCCGGATCTGGTCCATGGTAAGGGGACTACGGTTAAAAGGATCTGTTTGGTCACTAGGACAAAAGAAAATGGAAAGTGAGGTTACTTCTGAAGGTTCTAGTCCCCTAGACCAGGAGTAGAATTCTAAGCGCCTCACCTGACCTGCCTTATAATTTGGGGGATTAGAAAGAAGGAAATGAAAAAAGGCTTTTCAGAGATTTTGTCTCTCCATCTCTTAAAAAACCTTATATACTGCCATTCAGATATTGATCCCAGTGGCTTAAAAAATGCTATTGGTTTGAAGAGATGACTCAGTGGTTAAGAGCACTGGGTGCTCTTGCAGAGGTTTGATTCCCAGCACCCACACGGCAGCTAACAACCTTCTGTAACTCCAGTTCCAGAGGCCCTCTTCTGACCTCCTTGGGCATTGCACGACATGGGTGCACTTATATACAAGCAGGCAATACACTCATACACATAAGATAAAAATAATAAAATATTTTCTAAAATGTTATTTAGCCAGGTAGGGTGGCACAAACCTTTAATTCTAGCACTAGGGAGGCATAGGCTGATGGTGGATCTCTGGTCTACATAGCATCAGGACAGCTGGGGATACAGGGAGACCCTGTCTCAAAAAGTCTAAAAAAGCACCCACTACTCATGTCAGTATAAAGCACTATTGGTAGGGTTATTTTTATTTCTTTTTAAAAAATTTATTTTATATATATGTATGTGCACCTCATGAGTGCACTCCCAGGGGCCAGAAGAGGGCATCAGATCCCTTGGAACTGGAGTAACAAAGAATTGTTAGCTGCCACATGGTATTGGAAACCAAACTTGGGTCCTTGGCAAGAGGAATCAGTGATCTAACCACTGAGCAATCTCTCCAGCCCCTTCTTTCTTTTTCAAATGTGGTTTTGCTATGTTGCCGAAGTTGACCTTAAATTTCTGGGCTCTAGTAATCTCCCTTCCTCAATCTTGGAATTTTAGTGATAGTATAAGGTAGTAAAACCTTCTTAGAACAGTGTAAGGTAGTAAAACCTTACAACTGACATTTGGTTAAATTAGCTGATTGCTATGCAAGTAAATGCAGACTATGGTTTACCTGAAAAGTAAGAGGGTTTCAGGGCTGAGGGTACAGTTCAATGGTGGAGTGTATGCCTGGCAAGCAAAAGGCCCTGGGTTTGATTCCAGGCATTACAAAAACAAACTATCAAAAAACAACACACTGGGTGTGGTGGTGCACACCTTTAATCCCAAGCACTTGGGAGGCAGAGGCAGGCAGATCTCTGTGAGTTTGAGGCCAGCCTGGTCTACATAGTGAGTTTCAGGCCAGCCGGGGCTACCGGGAGACCCTGTCTCAAGAAGACTGGAAAAAAGGAAGAGATGGCTCAGTGGTTAAGAACACTGGTTGTTCTTGCAGAAGACCTGGGTTTGAATCCCAGCACCCACATGGCAGTTAATGACTGTCTATAACTCCAGTTTCAGGGGATTGACAGCTTTTCTGTCCTCCGTGGGCATTGCACAACACAGGTGCATTTACCTACATGTAGGCAATACATGCATACATATAAAAAAATAAAAAAAAAAAGACTTGCGGGGGGAAAAAAAAAGAATCCTGCAGTACTCTAGATACTGTCCGGTTTACTGCCCTCTTAAGAGTATACTCAATAAACCATTCTTCCTAAAAAGAAAAGTTAAGGGCTGCTTAGTGACTTGCTTCCATTTACTATTTCCTTCATGTCTGCCAGAGACTGCCAGAATGACACTCAGGCAGGGGAAAATTCTTAGTTACCACAGCAACTGAAGGGAATTAAAAAATAACTTTTTTTGTATTTTAAAACAAATAAAACTAGCTGGGCGTGGTGGTACACGCCTTTAATCCCAGCACTTGGGAGGCAGAGGCAGGCGGATCTTTGTGAGTTCAAGGCCAGCCTGGTCTACAGAGTGAGTTCCAGGCCAGCTGGGGCTACAGGGAGACCCTGTCTCAAAAAGACAAAAACAAAACAAAACAAAAACTTAAATAAAATTAAGACAGTTTCAGCCTAGCTTATATTTCATCCTGACATATTTTATAACATGGATAAAATTATTTTCTGTTTTCATTTTGTTTTTTGAGAGACAGGGTCTTGCTGTGTAGCCCTGGCTGACTTCATAGTTATGGCAATCCTCTTGCCTCTGATTCTCATGTGCCAGAATTCCAGACATGTCCCACCATGTTTGTCTAAAATCACTTTCTTAAGGAAGGAAGAAGAAAGGTTAGAGCCAGCACTTCTCAACAGAGACTATCTTGCAAATCTTTAAATTCTTAAGAGTGTTATCTAATTGTCACATCAGTAAATTAACAATATGAGTACCAACATGTGCTAAGTGCTATGTTAAGTAGCTGGGAGGAAAGGTGATAGGAAGCTAATACACAATGCTCCTGAGGCTGCTGTCTGGACAGGCATACCTGAGTAGATGTCTGGCAATGGTGGACCTATCCACAGTGACTCTGGAAGATGGAAGCACCACGGGGTCAGACATCAGTGTGCTCATGATGGGATCCAAGAACTCGTCACAGGCATCTGCATAAGTCTCCTCTTCCTGTTGTTGGAGGTCTGCAAGAGACTGCAGCCAGAACAGCTGGTAGCTAAAGAGAACTCACAGTACAGCTGAATTCAGAATGCTCAGTAAGTACACCTTAACCTTGGCCATCTATAGCCTCTACAGTGATGACAGATCTGTATTTGTTCAAGAACAAGCAAAGACACACATTTTAGAAATAAATTTAGCATTGCACTTCAACTCTGAGCTTCAAGTTGGCTCAGTTGCTGGGAGTTATAACTGAGAATGGATATAAATGTTAACAGGAAAAGGAGTGTACATCTTTCTGGCAGCACTCTTGTAAATGCTCAAAAAGGGATGGGGCGGGAGGGTTGTTACTTACATAACTACTGAGTATGTGGATGAAAAGCAGTTTCTGATTTCTGGTATAAGCAGGTACAGAAATTTAAAGTACCTTCAATGTTTGGTTCCTGTAACTCTAATTTCTTAGAGGTTTATCTGGCCAAGCTCTAGGCTAATATGAAGCCCAAGTCAGTAAAAAAGAATCTCATTGAGGAAAGACTGACATTAATAAGGAATGTTTTCTATGAGACTTCTATGCCATGCTTTTTTCTCTTCCCCACTTCCAATGGAGCTCTCCTGTAGTCCAACCAGGATTAGCTGCATACACTATATAGAATTTTAATCTCTAAAATGTATTATAAGCCAACCACCAAGAAGCGATATAGAGAACAGAGAAAAGCAATATAAAGCAGTGTCTGAGAACTACTGGTTTTACTGGTCTAAGTTTACTTTTTATTTATTTTGAGTCAGGGTCTCATTATGTCACTCAAGCTGGCCTTGAACTTGCACTCCCCCTGCCCTGGCTGGGGAAGTGCTGGTATTAAGCCTTGCCCTTCATCCTGAGTTTTATTCCAAAAAGCTCTTTTGTAGCCACACTAGATTTTCAAGTCTATCGTAATTCTGGGGGCATAAAAGTGAGACTACAGAAAGCCTCCACAAACATGTACATTCTTTTCACCTCATAGAAGCATCTTCAGTTTCTGTTCTTGCTCTTGGGTCGGAAAGAGTAATATTTAATAACTTATTGACTACCCAGGAAGAACCACCTATTTCTAATATCTCAAGGCAGTACTCTTTTTCTCCCTGAAATAGGGCAAAAAGCAGCAGTGTGACTTTTCTCAATGAATATATGAGAAAACCATGTGTTCCTCCCCCCTCACCTTGATTCTCTCTGCTAAGTTGCTGAAAGCAACAATCATATTCCCAGGCTTATTAATTTTCTTCAGGACTCGGACTGTCTGTGCAAACAGAGTAGGGGAATAGGAACGCCCATCCTTGGGCACAGTGGCACAGAAATTCTCTTCATCCCTGGAAAGTTGGAATCAGAAAGAAACCGAGCATCAGAGCATAGGTTAATGCAGAGAAAACAGATGGGTTGCAGAACAATCACTCCATCACTTACAAGTCACAAGCATTCTTTTGATCTAGAAAGACATCTTATTTTTTTTGGGGGGGGTCTTTTTGAGACAGGGTCTCCCTGTAGCCCCAGCTGTCCTGGAACTCATTATGTAGACCAGGCTGGCTTTGAACTCACAGAGATCTGTCTGCCTCTGCCTCCCGAGTGCTGGGATTAAAGGCGGGCGCCACCACGCCCGGCTTTTAGAAAGACATCTTAATAGTGTGTGTGGTGTATGTATGTGTGTCCATTTGTGTATGTCCATATGTATGTGGAGGCCAGAGGTCGATGTTGGGTGTCTTCTTCAATTACTAATGCAGTTCCTTATGCTTGTGTGGCAAGCACTTTACTGATTGAGCTATTTCCTCAGTCTGATATCTAATTTTCTATAAGGATGTCTATCAAGTATCCCATGGCTCTAAAAGAATATTACCATCCCAAACAATATTATAACCAGTTAAGTTTTTGTGGAGATCAGGGTAGAATATTGGAAATCCTGAACAATGTCCCATGGATCAGATAAAAATCTTATTTAAAAAAATGGAAGATTCCTTTATCTATCAGCTAGGAATGAACATTTTTTCCCCTTATTTTCACATAACAGCTAAACAGCCATTCCACTATCAAATGATTAGCATCCCCCTGGCTTGCCCAAGGCCAGTTGAGATACCCAAGATTCAAGTAGATGGTGCAGATATCTGATACAAGCTGCTGGGGTTTGAAGTCAAATTCGCTGAAGTCCTTGACTTTTAGGGCACCCATCTTGGGGCCAACCAGGTGCTGCAGGAAGTAGTTTAGCATGGAGATGATGCGCTCTGCCAGGAAGGGGTGCACGAACAGCGATTTGATCTCTGGAAAAGAAGCCGAAGTCTCTGAAAGCTCAATCCACTAGTGATTTTTTTCTTATTATCTAGTTTCCTTGGAGACCTCTGGGGACAATTTTAATTACTTAATACATTCTCTCTGGAGAAAATATAGACAAGCCCCCCCCAAATTAAAACAAACAAAAAGGCAACAACAAAAGCTACTACTCAGAGATGAACACACAGTTTGCTATGTATCTGTCTAGTTCTTCTGTCCATATTTATGCATATGTATATATAAAATTTTTTGGAGACTGGGTCTCATTATATAGCCCTAACTGGCCTGGAACTCACAGACATCTGCCTGCTTCTGCCTCCTGAGTGCTGGGATTAAAGGCATAAGCAACCACACCTGGCTTTTTATTAAATTACATTTATTTTCCTGTGTGTGCATGTGTATGTGAAAGTGTGTGCATCCATACAAATGTCACAGTGCACATATGCAGATCAGAGAACACGATGAGGGAGTTGATTCTCTCGTTACCATGTGGGTCCTGGGGATTAAAAGGTAGTAAGGCTTGGTGACAAGCACCTTTATCAACTGAGCCTTGTCACTAGCCCCTATATGCACTATCATATATATTCTTTAGCTGTTTTTTACTAACAAAACCATTTTGATAAACATATACCCCTATGCTATCCAATGTGGTGACTACCATCCATGTGTGCTTTTAAATATTTTTATTTTATGTGTATGCATGTATTGCCTGCATGTAGGTAAGTGCACCCATGTCCTGCAATGCCCGAGGAGGACAGAAGAGGCTGTTGGATCCCCTGGAACTGGAGTTAAGGACAGCTGTCAGCTGTCATGTGAGTGCTGGGATTTGAACCTGGGTCTTCTGAAAGAACAACCAGTGTTCTTAACTGCTGAGCCATCTCTCCAGCTCTGCTTGTGTGCTTTTAAAACTAAAAAAAGATAAAGCCAGGTATAGTGGCTCACATCTATAAGTCTAGCACTTGGAGGGCAAAGGCAGGAGGATGAATTTGAGGCCAGCATGGGCTACACAGTGAATTCCAGACTAGCCTGAGCTACATGGTGAAACCCAGTCTCAAAACAAACAACAAAATTCAGTTCTTCTGTTGCATTAATAACATTTCAAGTGTCCAACAATCACTTGTGGTGGTACATACAGTCCTAGATGGCCTAGGTTTGTTGAACATTTCATCATCACAGAAAGTACTTTTTTCTTGGTATTTTTGTTTTCAGACAGGGTCTTGCTATGTAGCCTTAGCTGGTGTGGAAAGCACTCTAAACCAGGCTGCTTTTGACTCAGTTATCCTCTTGTCTCTACTCCTGAGCGCTGCGATTACAGGATTATGCCACCACACTTAGGTCCTTAATGTATTTTTATTTTGAGAAAAGGTCTTACAAAGTTGCTCAGAATAGCCTAAAGTTTGTTCTGTAGCCTAGGCAGCCCACAAACTTGTAATCTTCCTACCTCAGCCTCCCAAGTAGCTGGGATTAAAGGCCTATACCACCAAGACTGGATGCTTTATTCCATTTTTTATTGGCTACACTTTTCCATTTGTGACCCCACAGGAAGTTATTTTTTAACATTTTATTTATTATTTTTATTTTATGTATATGGGTATATTCCCTGCATGTAGGTAGGTGTACCCGTGTCATGTAAAGTCCAAAGGGGTCAGAAGAGGGCGTTGGATCCCCTGGACTGGAGTTACAGATGGTTGTTAGCAGCCATGTGGGTGCTAGGAATTGAACCCAGGTCCACTGCAAGAGCAGGCAGTGCTCTTAACCTTTGAGCCATTTCTCTAGCCTTATTTAATGTTTTTACTGGTGGACATTTTGACTGTTTTCCATTTTTTCCCTATATAAGTATCTCTCTTTTTTTTAAGCTTTATTTTCTATTTTATGTGTATGTGTGTAAGCCTGCATGAGTTTATGTGTACCACATGCATACAGTGCCTGAAGAAGCAAGAAAAGGGCATTGGATCTCCTGGAACTGGGGTTACAGGTAGTTGTTAGCCCCCATATGGTTCTGGGAATTGAACGTGGGTCTTCTGCAACAGCCATCTCTCCAGCCCTGTCATTTATTGGTGAACTTTCTTGTGTACAACAGTCTTTCCTTATCTACTATTCTGTTGTCCATGGCTTCAATTAACCATGGCCACTAGTGATGTGAAAATACTGAATTTTACACACACACACACACACATATATTTTTTCCCTTTTTTTTTTTGAGACAGGGTCTCTCTACAGCCCCAGCTGGCCTGGAACTCACTATGTACACCAGGGTGGCCCTGAACTCACAGAGATCCACCTGCCTCTGCTTCTCGAGTGCTGGGATTAAAGGCATGCCAGCCACCAGGCCTGGCTTTTATATATATTTTAAAAATATTTTATTTATTATTTTTATTTTTATGTGTATGCCTGTATTGCCCACAGGTATGTAAGTGCACCTGTGTTGTACAATGCCTGCAAAGGTCAGAAGAGGACATCAGATCCCCTGGAACTTGAGTTATGGACAG